TTTCCAGAAAGTGGTAAATCTAGAGTCATGTTCTTTCATCAATTCTCTACAGTAAGATTTGTTTTTTGTTTGTGAATAAGGTAATAATACTGAAGATATCTACTTTAAGAAAAAGGCTACTTTAATGTCTACTGTAATTTTTGAAGCTGCTTTCAAAAGGATACATGTAAAGCTGACAATACATGGTTTTTGTACTTAGAAAGAGATTCCATTTCTCCATTGGTAAACTTACCAATGTATGTGATTACCTAGAATTTGTTAAGTATACTTATTTCTTTTCATACATATATAACTTGTTTTTTTCTATGAACAGTGAAGACCAGATTCTAGCTTCTACAGATTTAACCGTGGACCAAACCCCCCTCAGTTCTAGGTTTCTATCACATTAACTCTGCTCCCTGCAAGTCTTTTGTAACCGAAAACTAACCTGAGTTCAACACATCCACCCACCCCAGAGTTTTCTTTAGGTAAAGAAAGAAAGAAAGCACTGAGATTTTTGAGAACAGTATCCAACAGTATTACTCCAGCCAAGGTTTACCTCAGAAATAACTGATGAGTGCTTAAAATTCCAGTAAGTACTTAATTAGCTACACAGTTCCACCAGCACTTCTCTTCTTGCTTAATAACATAATGCTCTGGCAAGACATGAATTTATCAAATCAGCCCCATTAATAAAAAAAAAAAGGTTACTCCCAAAGCTTGCTCAGCTAACACTGCCACAGTCACAGCTTGAAAATGCTCGTAACTTCAAAGTGGCTAGAGCTTACTGGAAGGATGAGATATATTTTATTCAACTGAAACATTTACCATACAATTGTGGCAAATAAATGCTTAAAATATTTAAAGGTGAATTAGTAGGTACTAATGACACAAAGCTGCTTGCCACATTTCAGATGTCCAAATAAAATGTAATGCATTCACAAGTGGCTGTTCCCATGATGCAGGCAAGGCTGTAAGACTACTTATTCTTAAAAAACAACAAAAAAAGCCACCTCAAACAAACAAGAAAATGCAGTGCAATGTTTCCAAATCTATCAACTGGAAAGAATATTCATTTGATCAAACTAGTTTAGATAATGCTGTCACTTCCGCAGAATCTCAGGGTCCAAAACCAAGGAAAATGTCAACCCTTCACTGAAACATTAGCGTGATATTTACTGCTCATGGGCTCACAGAATACAAGCATGGAAAAGCGAGTTAGAAATGTTTTGTCTGACCTCTTCTACAACAAGAGGCACAACACCTCTTTGGATTAATTTCTTTTTTAAGTAGAACAGAGATGATGCATACACTGGAAAGCTAACGCCTGAAGAAAGCTGATGGAGGGAAGGTGTGACTCCATGAGGAGAAATGAAGACTCTTGTTGGTTTGCATACAACCACTGTGTCTTCCATTTTACAGAAAACTTCACTGATGCTGTCTTTGACCATCTCCAAAGATAATTACCACCGCCTGCAATGTTTATTACTTTACCTTTATTCTATTCCTACCACAAAAGTAATCTGAAGAAAACAAGAATGATGCCTACTAAGTACTGATTCTGAGGAGCAGATCTGTAATTGTCCTAAAATTTAGTAATGAAAAACTCATTGAAATGTATGAAAAATTAAACAATTATTCAATAAATTCCACAATATATCGAAATGCGTAAATTACAAAACCAGTCTGCAGAATTTCTTACTCTGTCAAACACTGGTTTTTGGTAATTACAAGAGACTCTGAGAAGGCTAAATAATTATTGTTTTCTTTCAGATATTTGGCTATCAGTGTCACAGTACCCATGCCTGGGTGAGAAGAGAGTAAGCAACTATGGTAAAAGGACCATATAATCAAAATATGAACAGTGAATTACCAACCCTGAAATACACACACAAAAAAGAGAGGCAAGAGAAAAGAGCCATGAAAAAACTGAAAGCAGACTGGAAAACTCTTTTAAGAGCATTTTATCTGCTAGAGGCACTTAACATGAAAGTGTTGAAATATCTGAATGCAGTGACAGGTCCAAGTCTACTTCCACTGATGTTACAATATAATAATAAATCATAAAGTTATCATCTAAAGAGGAAATCCTACCACTTCAAACACTGTATTTGGAGTCACTAGTAAAAAATCTATCTCCTTTCCATGAAGGGTATTTCCAACGCTGCCTAGTTCACTTTCAGCAACCCACTATCATATTTTCAATATCATCACTATATGACTGACCAAGAAACAGAGACAAAAGCTACATGGCTTGACTAGCATTTTAGATGCTGAGCTAAAGCAAAATTTAGAATGCTCCAACCCATTCCCTGCACCCAGTCAGTACAGAAACACGGTCAGCAAACCGTATCACGCTTTTCCATCAGTGGATCCTGGAGACATATGGAGTGCATGGTGAGACTATAGGCTGAGGTTACAGAATACTCTGACCGGATCGAAAACTACAACATCTCAGAAAGGCAAATGTGTTGAAGAAAATATGATTTGTAAGGATGGAGCAAAAGGCAAGGGAAAAGAAGCAAAAAATGAAGGTGGGGGGAAAAAAGAACTGAGATTATAGCACCAAGCAGAAGAGACCAAAAGCAGTGGGGGGAAGGGAGGCAAGGGGAAGAATAGCTCAGGAGTGGTACGAGAATGATGGGAAACAGAATGATTTATTCAGCAAGACACACCAGATATTAGTAACCTACACAGTTAAATGGAAAAGGAGAGGCCAGGGAAAAATTGCCATCAATGATACATAACAATAGGTGGGGTTTTTTTTTCATCATGCAGCACATCTCTTACCATGTTTTAATGTTGTAATTCAGATGACAAATGCTTCTTGTGTATATATATAGATATACACACATATGTATATATACATATACATAAATTATACACATCATGTCCTGGGTTTGGCCAGGACAGGGTTAATTTTCACCAGAAGCCAGGAGGGGGCTCAGCCAGGCGGGCTGAACCAACCTGGCCAAACAGAACAGGGTATTCCATACCATGTGCTGCCATGCTGGGTTCTGGGTGGGGGAGCTGGCCGGGGGGGAAGTGGGGTCGGGGCTCAGGAGTGCGTGGGGCACCGAGCAGTGGGAGTTGCTCTGGGCATTTTGCAGTTTATTTTGTGTATTCTCCTTTTCAGTACTGTTGTTCTTACTGTTTGCTTTGTTTGCTGTTCTGTTAAACTGCCCTTATCCCGACCCACCAGTTTTTGCCTGTTTCTTTCCGTTCTCCTCCCCACCCCAGCGGGGGGAGGGGCGATAGAGTGACCGCGTGGCCCTTTGTTGCCAGCCACGGCCAAACTACAACATTAAATTTGTCACCCAATGTGGGGCACGAACCCACGACCCTGAGATTTAGAGTCTCACGCTCTACCACAACACACATACGTTCAGTCTGGTTAACACGAGCCAGGTCCCATCTGGACGCCATTTCCTGAGGGAACGCAGGCCACGCAGCCAAGCACCTCATGCTCAGCTCAGAGCCTGAGGCGGCTGCCTTGTCCCGGGGGGCACAGACACTCCATGCACGTGCACACCCAGCCTGGCTGCGGGGCTGGGGGAAGTGAGGGGCATGGGGAAGGGGGAGTTGTCTCTCTGTCTGAAGATCGAAGGGACTGAGAAATAACACAGCTAATACCTAAAGTGAGAACATGTGTGCATGAACATAGCATAACAGCGAAAGATGGACACAGCAGAGGCTCGAGCTGCTGCTGTCACCCTCACAGCACACAGAAAGCAACTTGGAAGAGAATCCAGTTCCTATCCAGAACTATATAGCTGTACGAGAGCCTTTCCTGGAAAACTGGGGTAATCGCACACTTTTATGGGCTGTGCTTACCCGTCAAACTGTCAGTAAATTAATCATGCAACTTTCAGCAGTCAGTATCAATAGAGAAACTCAGCCAGTGCAAAGGACACAGTAAGACAGAAAATCACAATTATTATGAGTGCAAGGGCAAACTGTACTATTTATCCATTTTTGTCCTAAATCTCCTTTATGGCCAGACTCCATAATGAGCCATATGACAGAAATGAAGATAAACAAATGCCTTTTAAAGCATATACACGATTTATTAATTTGATAATTTCCACTTTCTTCCTTCTCTTCCTTTTCATATCTTGGACTGACATAACAGAAGTTCCCACCACAGCAGTATGTAGCTGAGCAAGTCACCTAGATACCGCAGATATGTTTAGACAAAACTTCTAGACAAAGTTATAAATGAGCCTTGGATACAGCTATTCTCATTTTTGTTCTTCAGCATGTCTCTTTGTTCTCTAAGGATGGAATGAGAGTCTAGTGCCAGTGGAAAGACAAACTGATCTATGATGGGAGCTGACATGCTCCAAAATACTATTTTGGCCTTTAGAGAAGACAAAAGGGGAAAATAAGTATGTGGAGTTGTTAGGGGGAGGGATTCTGTTTGTTTTTATGCACTGCTTTTCTAAATCCCCTCCTAAACCCTCTTCCAAACTTCCTCAGAACAAAAACTCTAGCCAAAATTCAATATATCATTATGACCTCTTTGTTGTCACACGTATACTTTAATACCTTATATTTTGAGTATCACAAAGCTATAGTGACTTCTAACATTGCTCTCTTTACTTGATATTTCTCTACCTGCAGACGTAATAGGAACATGGACTGCAAATGTCACTAAATATGTGACTTTAAAAGAACTGGGTCACGAGAAGGGTTTTCTTGGATCTCTTTCCACCACCCTGGGCATGCAGAGCCTTTTGCTGCTGCTTTCATATTTTCATCAACTCCTATTTAAATCTTTATCTTCTCCTCTTTTCTGTTCCTACTGTAGGACTCTTTCAGAATCTCATTTCTGTGAAGGTTAGAAAACTATATCTCATCTCTATCACAGAGGCATTTGCAAATACTTCATATATCTCTCCCCCTCTGGTAGCAAGTGACAGCAAAAGATCCTAGAACAGCATAAGCTGAAGCAAGTGCAATAATCTTCCGTACTATCTTCAGTACAGTCAAACTCAAGGAGCTCATTAGGTGATACTTACGGAGGTGTCACTCCTTTCGGGAGGCCTAATGCGTTGACAGAAATGGGTGGCGGCTGGGATGGCAGCATGGAGCTGAGAAAAGCTGCTGGAGACTGGCCGGAATTAGGAAATCTGGGAGTTGGAGACAGGCTGTGGGAAGGTGAAGAAAGCGAAGGGAGAGGAGGAGGTGGGGGAGGTGGAAGTGGAAAGGAATCACACACCGGATATGTTGAGGTTGGACTAAAGACAGGTGGAGGCGGGGGAGGAGGGGATGGAGAAGAAGGAGACCAGGCGTACTCCCCTTCTGGAGCAAACTGCTGAGAGAAAGGGGGAACAGGCACTCTCCCAAACTGTTTCTGAGAAGCAGTTGGAGACATAGGAGAAGGCAGGCTGGATGTAGATGATCCTGAAGATGGAGTCACATAACCTGAAGCAGGGCTGATGTTCTGAGCAGCGATGAACTGCTTAGGCCGAGCATAGTTGAAGGAGCTGGAAGACTGCATGGTTGGGGAAGTATGAGAATTAAGAATACTCATTGGCACAGGAGAGGTGACAGACTGGCTGGACTCAAGCTCCTGGAAGGAGGGGGGAGGAGGAAAGGAAGGAGAAGGGGGATGGTGCTGCTGATGATCAGGTTGCTGTTGGTGACGATACCACTGGCCGCTTTCTTGCTCCAGACGAATTTGGTTCTGCAGCTGCTGTATTTTTATAGGGTCCCTGCAGGAAGGAAAAATAGACAAAAAGATGATCAGACGTGCAGTGCTGGTTGGCGATGAGGTAAAAGTTCCACTGATCTACGGTCTAAGAAAGTCAGAAGGCAGGGAAAGTCCAAAGCATTTGCATATCTTGAATAGCCCTATTTCTTCAGAGTTAAAACATTGCTACAGGAGTCTGTTTTCTGAGCTCAAGAAGGGAGAAAAAAAGTATATGCATAATAGAAGTTAACAGAATCTTCAACTCTTCGGAAAAGTAAATTATAAGACAATTTCAAAGCGCTTAGGATATTTTAAAGGAGCAATCCAGATATACAAGTAACAGTAAAAATGTAAGTTCTTAACAAGGTTTCTTTTCATTTCTTGCCTATTTCATTCAATTGTCCTGTTTCAATAATAAGCCTCAGATATTTACCCAGTGACAACTTCTGCCTTGATTTGTGCTGTAGCCTCTGTGGGCCGATCAGAGGGACCTAATTACTGCTGTACTTGTAACAAGGTACTTGGAGACAAGGGACCAACTTATGTGTTATAACCATCCATGTATGTGTAGATAAGCAAAGACTTCCAAGAAACATTTGTAACCTAAGGAAATGGTGAGCTGAGCTTCCACGTGTCTTTAGTCCCACCTGTTTTTCCAGGCTTTATTCTTAACTGTAGGCCCTGAGACATATCTTAGATACTGAATACAGTTCTGAGGAATTACTAATTGCAGTACTGGAAATGAGAATTTCTTTTAGAAATGAAGACATTCGCTAGCAGAACAATAAAGACTAAAAAACTAATATGCAGGAAAAGTCAAAATTGTTAATTAAGTTTTTTTTTTAAAAAAAAAAAAGCAAAACTTTTAGCAGTGAAGCAAACCAGACCATGCACTGGCTTTTTTTTGTCCACAATATGGTTGTTTGAATCACACTGAGATAAAAATTAACTGTGTGGTCTATCATCTTAAAATACATCAGACTGACTTGCTTAAGAATTGTTGTGTTCCAGCTGGAAATCATAACTTTATCTCAATACTCCAGATGTCCCCAAAGTTTCAGCATATGAACATATACCTTTTCTGTATATTTAATATATAAATACTTCATTATATACAAGTGTGTCATTGTTTATATATAATTCACGTCATTTAAGCAGAAATTTTAGAAGCTGTCTGCTTAATGCATGGCATATGAGTGCATGATTTTGGCACAACAATATACTTCTGTTGGTAGCAACAAAATTAGAAATGGTAATATTATCATATTTTCCACTCTAAGATTAATTTTGATATTCCAACCATCCACATTTCCCAGCAAATGTTTTCTGACAATAATTCTGCTTATGATCTCAGGCCAAAAGAGATTGTTTAGATAAAAAAAAAGGGGAGCAAGCTTGTTTAGGACAGAAAAACTGAAAAATCAGTTATGTACATTGAACAGTTTACTTTTTCTTTTTTTGTCATAAAGATGGTTCCATTCTAGCAACATCAGTCATCTCACCAACAATACACACTTCAGTATTTAAAAGGAGACTGCATTTTCCTTTTTAACTAAATCAGCAACAGGAACACTGAAATGCTGCAGTTCACTTGCAGATTTTATAATTAATTTTTTAATGTTGACAATAGAGACTCTAAATCCCTATCAGTTCAACTTTTCACTCCACAGGACATGGGCTGAACCTTATTCTTCGATTTTTGCTAGATTACATAAAAGTCTGCTTTCCCTAAATGGGCTAAAGCAACACAATTTTAGTTCCCATCATTTGAATTTCTTGGCTGATGAAGAAATACTTCAGGTCACCTCTAACTGGAAAGACAAAATCCTGCAAGATTACTGCTTTCAGCTTATTCTGTATCTTTAGTCTGACTATTTGCAGACTTACTGTCCAACACATCTAAAATTATTTACAACTCATGCTTATTTTATTTTCCTTCATAAGCACCCCCAATAGTATTTTTATTTATTACAGGGAGGCTAGGGTTAAAAAAAAAGTGGGGGAACTTCAGTATTGTAAATGGTGTGTTGAATATAGAAGAAACTTAGGTGTCTCCAACACTCCTGTGTTTACCCAACATGTGCTGTCAGAGTGTCTTGTCTTGGGACTTTTTATTTTCATTGCCAAGTCACACGGCGACGTGCCCAGCCAGCAGCATAGCACAAATGACCATCTATGGCCCTGACAACGGTAAGCATACTACTACAGCGCCTGCCACTGAACTGCTGCTGCACCAAGCCAGGCAGAAGGGAAGACCAGATTCAGGAGATCTCTACAAAAGGTTGGCAAATGCAAGGTTGCTCTGCTCTCAAACTAAGCTTGACTTGAGGCCACAGGAATATACATGCCTGAAAGTCAGGGTTCATTAGCTCACAACAGCACTAATTCCATTTGCAAAGCTTTTGATCAGCTTAGGGTCTAGACAAAGCAACTGCATGTCTGCTTGAAAAATAACATACAGACATAATCATTATCACATCAGTCCACGTAGCAAAAAACCATAAAGACCTTCTCAGAGCAAATTTTCATTCCAGTGGTAGAAATGCACAATCCTTGTCTGCAAAGGAATGTTCTCCACTTCAGAGCTATTCTTTTAACAGCAGATACTGCCCTATACTTTTTAATTTCTTGAGCAGGTGTATCCTAGGGATGCGTCATTATGAAGAAGAAACAAAAAGAACAGTCAATTCACAAATGTTCCTTTGCAATGACAGTGACAGTGGTGGAAGCTCCACATAGGTAGGTCCCTGAAAGGTAACACTGCTGTGCTACAGATACAGAGCACCCAGCAGTCAAAACTATTCAAGAAAATGTCAGCTGTGTTGCCCACATCAGTAGGAAAACAAAGAAGGGAACTAAAAAGAGTTCAGGTTTTAGATGAGATTACAGGAAAAATTAGTTTAATTGTAATTACATCCTCTTTCCAATTAGCTGAAATACATTTTGTAATCCCAGTGTTCGAAAGGGCACACATGCTTTCAGGGAACGCATCAAGCTCGTTTAAACAATAGAAAATGAAGACTTATTTTCTCCTGTACAATTTTTGGTTTTGCCAAATAATTAAATGTAACAATGTAAGAATGAACATTTTAAAGTAATTTTTTAGTAAAATTCAGTCAGTAAATGGCAAAAGAAATTAAAAAAATCATAACTAGGGTAAAGCTAATATTGAGAAATTTCATCAACTCTTCCGTCTGAACATGAGGAAGAACTTCTTCCCTCTGAGGGTGACGGAGCACTGGAACAGGCTGCCCAGGGAGGTGGTGGAATCTCCTTCTCTGGAGATATTCAAGACCCGCCTGGACAAGGTCCTGTGCAGCCTGCTGTAGGTGACCCTGCTTCGACAGGGGGGTTGGACTAGATGACCCACAGAGGTCCCTTCCAACCCCTACTATTCTGTGATTCTGTGAAAAGCAGGCCTAGTAGCACATAAATTTTTTCAAAATGTCCAGTTCAGTATTTGTGATTTTTTTTTCAATACAAGATATTCTTAACCAAGATTTTTCTATACATTTTCAGATGTTCTAATAGGTATGCTAAAACAGTTAAAGAAATGCAAACAATAAAGCAGTAATATTTTAATGGAAGCAGACATTAGTTGCAACAGAGGTGAGGTTTCTGGCCTGCGCTGCCTGTGAGAACCACTGTGTGCACAGGTTTGGTTCTGGGCACGTGGAACCTGCTCAGTCGGGTGACGACTTTCAGAGCTAAATGATAGTGAGAAGCACTTGAAAACAGAAGTTCGAAGGGAAGACTAGAGATGTTGCGTTTCATGGTGGGCAACTACAGAATACTATCTTTTCAAAAGCAAACCACGCTGATAATATGAGAAAATTGTGGACAAAGACGATCACAATTTTCTTGAAGGATGCCAATACACACAGCATATTTTAGTTACTCAAAAATTCATGTTCTATGTACTGAATTTAGATTATAATAGGCTATTTTATCTTTTTATCCCATTTTCATAATGTTTTATCTTCCTGTCACCTTCTTTGTATCACATTATTTTGAAAAACTAACAGAGCAGTCCTCGACTTTGAGAACTGAACTTCTAAAAGCCACTATCAGGAACCGTAACTCCAAGTGCCTGCACACAGTTCTATGGAGGAGCAGAGACGGGTAGATGGTTCCACATCTCTGAAAGTCTCAATAGGAACTGGCTACTGGATTGCAGAGGACATTACAGCAGATGGCATTTTCGGGGGTGCAATAAATCCTTCATACTGAAACGTCTCTGTCAGGCTCACTCGCAAGTTCCCAGTATTAGGATATGTACCAGCTTTGTTTTTCTCTTATATCTCTGGGTTTGTGAAGAGCATAAAAATAATTTGTTTAGAGGAACAACGTCCCTCTTCTGGGAACCACCCTATTATTTGCAGTTTAATCATCAACTCCTCAGTATAACCCAGTCTGCGTACCTTCTAAACCCAAAGGTTCTTATGGAAGCTCCTCTATCCAGACTACCTGTCTTGGAGGGTGAGGTTCTCCAAAGGTAGGGGGACGCTGTCCAAGCCTTGAGGGAATATGTCATACACAAAACGAACCCTGTCCAGGCAGGGTCTACCACAAAGTGTGGTAAGGGCACTGAAGTTTATTCAGTGTTTTACAACACAATATACGAAGTAGATTGAAATAAATCGCCACAGATAAAGAACCAAGACTAAATGACATTTTCTATGTTATAACTTTTTTTAAATTCCTGATTTTGGCCCTCCTGATCTAAACAAAAGGAGCAAATGGAAAGCAGACAAAGAAAAGCAATTTTTCTTTGAAAGAAAGAGTCCTCTCTATCTCATGTATAGAAGAATAATGGGCTCATTTCTGTCTCAAGTCATTCCTGAGCAAAAGCAGACTAGCCCCTTCACAATCCTACCAGCAATCTGCCCTTTGAGAAACAGATGGTGCAGTTCTACAGCAATATACAAAACATACCTCTGAAATGAAAGTACAGGAATATTTTGAATGATAATAATCAGAATTAACCACAACTTTAAAAGCTTGAGCTAGTTTTCTAAACTC